GCTGAAGCAAACAATTCGCATGCAACACCATAAACGTAGGCAAACATGAATAGACCAAATTAAAGGCTTTGGCGTTGTCAACGTGGTCCAATCACATTGAGACTCAATGCAAGTCACAGACGCACTTTAAAGCTCCACTATTCATTGCCTCGTGGTAGTCAATCTGCCATATGTTTTAAACCTAATATTTGTCAATCGAAATCAAAGAATTCATTACAAATCGCTTGAATTGATTTTTAGGTGTCACAATTGTTCATCCGTTTGCAATCCTTTAAGGCTAATGCACACCTACTCAGATTCGTGCGATGCCGTCACCCTTCAGCATTTAAATTTCGCAGACTCACACGAGGATTGACTAGGAAACATTCAATGGGATGCAAGCTGCAACAACACGTGGTTTTATGCAGTTACTTAAAACCGGACGTGTTGTTTCGTCCACATTTACGTTCAGTTCTTCCTCCGATTTGCACGTGTATCATCTCACACACATTCCACGTTTGCATTGCAACTCACACACACCCGAGGTGACTGTTGCGATTGCCTGGGTCCCTTGAAATCTGTCAATGATTGTGTGGTTTTGTGAGATTAACTGATATTGTGAGTCCCACAAGTAGTGCCAAATTGCAATTTCTACTGTTCACATGAAGTGCAGAATTAATGCTGCACTCAAGATGGCCTGTCGAAATTGTGGTGATTGTGGAATGCGCAACTGGTCGCTACGTTGGCCAGGATGCGTCATTACCATCAGCATCTGCTGTAATGTAGTGAGCCAGCCATTCGGTGATGTGTCTGACTGCGCCATTCACACAAATAATGTGTCTGCAAAAACCGATTATGGATGGAGATTTCATTACAATGAGGATGTGAACACCTGTGTTTGCAATGTCAAACTGAAGCAACGATATCGGATTGGAGTGACGCAGTGAATTACTTGAGGACTTGGTGAATTGTTTTGTGACGGTATTTTATCTGACTGACCACCTGATAGAACACCCAATCAGAAAGTCTGCAGTCACCGCAGTAATAGCGACAGAGTTAATATAATAAAGGTGAAATGTAACACGTCAACCATATCAGGAGTTAGTTTAGACGTAAATTTAACTTCTTGTAAATCCTAATTCACATTAATCAACATGCACCATGCAAACTGACGTAAATTGGCGTCAATTCAGAATTGTTAAAAACTGACATCTATTCTTCATATGCGAAATTTTGGCTTGCAACGCCATGCCACATATCCCAATTAATTTCTCTCTTAATTACTCGTTGTTTAGAGTTCTGCATCATACCTCAATATATCCTGTAATAAAGTGGATACGCCTCACCAACAATTTAGTACCCAGTATCAAAGCATCCATAATGCTACATGTCCAAGTCTATACTCAACTATACTGGTACCCAGGTAGTCCATTTGCACATTAATTGTTTTTAGCGGTTGCGGTATAGCAAAACGTGGCACAAATTTTAAATGAGGTTGCAGTCACATCACAGCTGTTCTTGGTCTGTCCTAATGGTCGAACAATCACGCAATCGCTTTTATCAACTCATAATGAAAATGAGTGAAGGGTAAGACAACCCGGAGACACATCTTCATTATCTTCTAGTTTACACAATTATGGCCCAGTTCAAAACGGCTTGTTTGACATAAAATTAGTTTTAGTAGATATTTTGTTGTGCAGGTCAATTAACAATGTCGCATGTCAATGGATGCTTTGTTGAATAAATAAAATCTTCGGTCCCATTCCACAATTCCATTTGAACAGCCACCTAATTGGTTTTCACTGCACTCACAAATCTGCCTAAATCCTTACTTGCAAACACCCAAACATGTTATTTAATGCAAAAGAACAAATGCAAACCGTCTAGTGAACTTTATATGGGGAAACGACGTTGCGGAACTGCACTGCAATTGTTAAGTGGCTTAGTTTTTCTTTGAAATTACTGACAGGTGTTCTGACATCACCTACTGATGAATGTGATTCGCTTCATGCTGTCTGTGGTGGTGCTATTGAGCAATTAAATTACACTCGTGCAGTTTTAGTCTGAAGCGGAAGCCACATCTCAAAACTAACCTACCGATGTAAGTTGGCACGGTTTTTCGCTAGATCTTGCTAAGCCGTCACTTTGTTCCTCTTTATTTGAACGTTGATATCCTGCAGTAATAAAAGCCAACACGGAAGTATATTCGCAACTAAAGTAAAACTCCAAGAATCATGGTTTCGGATTTAGTGCGTCTACTATTAAAATATGTGTACTTAGTTGGTTAAAGTGCTTTTCGTTAACGATTGGGTGCAGAAATATCTTGTTAAAGCATGAAGACAACGAAATCAGCAACGTGTGAATGGTCGTTAGCTCACGCAACCAGTCCAGTTTGGTTTCATGGATTGAAACAATGCAAGGTAGTCCAGTGTAAGCACATTTAGAGTGAAAGTCCTGACTTAAATGATCCCGAAAATTTTAGCGAAATTTTTTTGGGTTTCCGAGTTATTGCAGTGAACAGGGCACATGCGACGAATTCACTGCAGTGGTAGCAGTGGTCGGTTGAAGCAGAGTCTTTGCGGATCGACGAAATCGGGGAATCGTGGCCACTCAAGGCTGGTCTTCTGTTCGTTCAGTTGATGCATGAAACCACAAAGCCGACAATCCATTCGATTTTCTTTCTACAAAACCACAAGCCATTCGCTGAATGAGCATCTTCACTACCTATTTGCTTGATTAGCTGACTGTGAGAATATCTGCACCATTGCTGGTGTGCTGCAGGATAATTGATGTAAGTTATTTCTTGTGTAACGCTTACTGCAATTTATGGTTTTCACTGATGATAACCAGGCGAAAAGAGCAACAAATGGCTTTTTCTAATTGCTGCCAAATTCGCCAATATGTCGGTTGACAGGTGGCTTCATATGCTTGTTCCTACATGACATTTGGATACTTCGATTTATGTCACACCTTCATATCCAAACACATCAATTCGCCTCCACTCTTTCTCTATTACTGAGGTTTACCTTCATCAACTGTGTTATTATTACCCATACTCGACTTACTTTAGGCTGCATTTCAGTCACCGACCTGCCACCTAGCACTGCGTCAGTTTGTCTACCTCCGACCCACCCAATCATTTGAAATAGAAGTTGCAGTGGCACAAAACCGAAACTAGAGGGGTTATATTATATAAAATAGGTGGGATCAGTTGTGTCCTACAAGGTCACAAATAAGGCGATCATTGACGCACACTCTGACGCACTGTGCATGCCATCATCGTGTGCTTATCAAAACCAGCAATTTCCTTTAATAAAAAAATGGAAAGTCCAGCTAATGTTTTTTTTTAAAAATGAAGCTGTGGTTGCAATGCTTTCTGCCTTTTCTGGTGTAGGTGCTGAAGTTATGAGGTAATAGTGCATTGCCAATTACTCTGATAACAGTGAATGCAAGAGTTTTGCAAAGGCAATTCTTACGTAGATTTCACCGTGTTCCTTCCAGGCAAAATAATTAGCGTAGGCAGTATCATTTCTGTCTAGGTAGAGTAGGTAGTCGGTCAACTCGCGAATGGACTCGAAGTCATCCACGTTGATATATGAGTGAGGTGGAAGAACATCATCGTAGTCTTCCTTGTAAGCTCCGAGAACAATCGGAACCATGCCAAAACTGCCAACATTAACTGATCTTCATGATTTGGGTCAATAGACAAAGCAAAGCGTAGTGTCCTCTAACATATATTTAAAGTTTCTATTGGAATAGGCTGCGACGCGGTTAACGTCGTGCCTACATCCCTGCCCAGACAAAACAATAATAACCATCTTATCGCCTTTAATTTTTCCCTAACATAGAATTCCGTCCCACCTTGTAATTAGAAGACAAATTAGTGAACACAAAACTATGACTTCGAAATTACACATTAGGCAATTTTTCTGTTCAAACGTCATAATCTGAAAAAAATATAAAGCAGAATTTAAAAGAATTATAGACTGAAGACTTTGGGTTAGGTACACCTTCTTATTTGCAAACCTGCATGCCAGAATAGCAAATTCGGTTGTGGAACTTACTTAAATCCCTAATCTAGAGCCTTCCTAGAAACTTGGCTTGGCTCAAATCAAATTCTAAGGAGTAAGAACTGCGATTAATCAGAACAGCGGCTTCAGTGAACCTAATTCATGCAGCTTGACGTACCTCAATGCATTTTCAGTAGGTTTCTCCGAAATGTAGTTTTTGCAATTAGAATTCTCGAAAGCCAAATAGAACTTGTAATTCTCCGAGAGCCATTGAAATACATCAAGACCAATTGGAACTTTTTTTCCTTCCAGACCGTATATGTCAACCTACAATTTGAAATTTGAATTCCCAACTGTCACATCAGTTACGTTTGGCGTTTTCCATTATAAGTATATGGTGGGGTTGGGATATGCTGATAATCTACACGTGCGTGTGGAGAAATGTTTGCAGCCGATCTCAAAATTTATAACATGGCGTGGTTTTTCCAATGATTGATACATGTGATATTTCCGCTTGATAGACACGACGAGGAATTGAGTTGAATTGTGTGAAATGTCGGCAGCAAGTAATCCATTTAGCAACATGAATTTGGGTGCGCCTAATTCATTAAAGGTTAGAAACTTTGCTCTGGTAAGGGTGAGCTTAGGCCAAACAGCATTGTCTCTGTTGGACAGCAAATGCTGTGTTCAAGCGTTTTTATTATTGCCTAAAGCATCTAGTTATATTACAAATGTCACAGTTGGTGTGGTCAGCTGTAATTGAATTTTAATGTGATATTGTGCTGTGTACTCTAGCGATAATGCCATGCAGAAATGGAGATCCCATAATCGACATCATTTACTCAAACTCGTGGCAGCATTGCGCAAACGCATTTGATCGTTCAAGCAATTTGAGGTTAGTTTCCGTGAAGTGCATTGTGTAATGCAGTATTTCAATTCACTAATCTGAACACAAGCATAAAACAGTGCGTTGAAGATAATAAAAAGTAGGATAGCACTACTTATGATGGTCCTTAAAACAGAAAGACATACGTCATTATGAATAATGGGAACCAGTGTGGTAATGCGTTAGACCATGCATTTAATCGGCCTCTGTAGAAGACGCGAATACAGCGTTTGAAATTCATGTTTCATTGACGTAGTTAAATGCTGAAGTACTTTCTGACCATGAAATCACTGAGATCAGCCAAGACTTTGATTAAAAGAAACATGGACACATGTTCATGTTGTCGCTCATCTTCCCGTAAGATAACTCACGTTTATCAGAATCAAGTCGCAGCACATTCCGTTAACCAGATATTCAGTCTAACGCTATCCCATCCAAAGGTCTTAAATTCATTGTTACCATGCAGAAAGGTGGAAAGTGGTTTTCATAGGCAACTTTTGCAATCTGGCAAGTTAGTTCGTCAGGAGTATTGCATTAGAAGATAACGCCGATAAAGCGCCTTACCGGAATGAACTTTGCAATTGCTTCTGCGTACTCCTTTCTGTTGTTTCTCGGCCAGTGATTGGAAACCACCCAGGCGATTAAGTTTTTTCTCTGTTTGTGATAGTGAGGCAGCAGGTAAGTGTTGTTTTTTGCCAACATGGCACTCTTTTCTTCGTTGGTGAATTTCAGTTTGCGCTTTGTGTTCCGGACGAACATGGGATACATGTAGGGTACGGGTGAATCAGCCATATATGTGTTAAACATGTCGACCTGTAAAATAATAAGGATTGAATAGATGCATGCTTGTTTGACAATGCTAAATGATCTTTATCGTACAATTTTTTCCATACGTTTGAATACCTACTCCTGTTTCAAATTTTTTTTACAAAAATGAACCACTGGAAGGAGAGAAAAGCCTAGTATAACCTGCGGATTTCACACAGACTTGAGTTATACATGGATACATGTTTTACCTTTTGGCTCTTTAAGATTTGTCCTGAGAATTATGTAACTGAACTGGATTAGGCAAAACATTTACTGTCCTATTGAGTTGCAATTAATTTGGCTGGCGTAAATAGAATAAAGGCCGTTTCCTCAAGCGCTTTCTTAACATGTGCGCCATTTGAATGCTCGCATACCCCGCTTGCAAAGTCCACGTTTACGGTGCAAGTAGGCTCATTTCAGTGAATTGTGATATCATCAAATTATTTACGCATTCTCCTGACACCTTGGAGGGACACGAATGAATGCCGCTAACTTTCGGTTTTACCAGCTGGTGATGGGCATGAATAGTCCACAGGATATTTAATCGTAGTTGTGGATGCACTTGATTGTGGCAGGTGAGAAATGCATATGTTAGACTCACTGTATATTTCACCTCACAAATGAGAGGACACCACACTTACTTGACTCAACAGAGACGCTTCCAGAGACGGCATGTGGAATGGGGATTCACCAGTCTCGAAAGCTATCAGAACTCCCCTTTGCTTAAGGCTCTTTGCTTCCTCAAGAGAAAACTTGTCGGAAAAGACCACAACGTCACCTTTGCCCAATTTTCGAGTATTATTATGAAATATGCACTTGTAGCGACATCCACTGGGATCCGTGGGGTGGTATAGATATTTTCGGTCGTAGAATATCACAGGCGTTTTGCCGCTTGACAACACACTCTACAACGTAAGTAGCCACTTCCACGATGTACCATGGTGTAGAATGATTGAAAAAAATATATAAAGATGTGCATTATTCGTAGCTTTGAATATAAACCCAAAGTCAAAAGCATTGCTTAAAGTCAACATATACCAGGCGACAAAACACTGCTGACTTTTCCGAACTTACCTGCTTCTTTCGTCAACATAAATTAACATGAATGCTTAGAACTGAGGCAAATGCTGTTGCTTGAATAGCGTACCTGGTTAGTTGAGAAATTGGAAATCCATTGCAATTGATCAATTAAATGATGATATGCAATAAGATCGCTGTGGAATAACTTAGTTGTTACAATCCAATCGTAAATTTTGCTTTGGAGCCTTAAATGTCTAGCAATGGCCCAACCAAGAATTAGCGTAACGACACAAATAAATATATTGGTTTTGGAAGGTGTTGGGCTTTTCATTCCTATCGTTTCACTATTCCTGTTGAAGCAAGTGCACATTTATTCGTCTTAATGTCTCTTGCAATGCGTAGCCAATCGCAAATAAAACAGTTTCATTGGTTAATATTATGCACAAAAAGGGCCAGCTTTGATTGGTGGGTATCGGGCAATTTCAGTAAGTCTCATCTGCGAAAGTCAATGAATCGGGGATGCAGATGTTTAAACCTTAGAAACAAATAGTGACACCTTAGGGTCAACAACCACCTTGTGAAACTTGACGTTGACAAATGCTTTGATTTGGCATAGTAAGTATGGTGTACTGCTCTACTCAGTGGACTATGAAAGTCACCAACGAATGTGAGTGCAGCAGCACTTGAGGCGATAAACACACACTATGCAGACAGCCCTTTGTCGAGAAAGAAAGGAGGAACGAAAACGGCATTAGTGGACATGTAGCGATCGAATCGGTCAAAGGGGAAGGTCATGTTTGTGGGTGCGTGCGTGTGTGCGTGCTCTGTGGTTCTGGTCTAATTAGTGCTGGGTTTAGTAGATAGAAACTGCTAAAATACGTAGTTAACCAAGTTGGCACAAGGTGGCAATGCAAATCGGTTTGCCATTGGAACTACTTTGTAAAAGATAGTAGCAAGTTGTCAATGTAGTAATGACCGCGCGCTTTCACACAATGCTCTACACTCCATGGATAAGTAAAATCGGTTGCATTTTCGCATTCAGTGCTGTGTTTGCACCTTCACTCATCCACGTCTCCATGGTGCGAGCTCCAATCACCTTCACCCTGCGCCTCTGTTCTTCAAATTAGGTCTCATTGTGATACACGTGTTACCAGTTCAAGAAGGTTTCAAGATCAACCGCATTTACCGTTTGGTGATATTTAGTCATCTTAATCTGAATATCCACGTTCAAATGTGTTTTCAAGTCACCATATCATCACTTCAGACATAATCAGTGTGACACGAATCTAATTATTCTAAACAACCCAAACCCTCACATGCATTGTCTATCATTTCCAACACCGCGCATTTGACCGTGTGTGCAGTACACTGTAGAATTAGAAGACCCAAAACCAAGGTTTGTGTAGGTGTAGTTGCATGTGCTGTTTCCAGATATGCCCACAGTTGCAGAGCCAAACATCGGACAAGTGAAATCTGAGGGGAAGGAATGCCAATAAAGAGAGAGATGTCGGCTTGCCACGTCACTACTTAGCAGTTCTTAGAAGGAGCTTGTTTGAATGACAGTCGAGACAAAATAACGAGGTGGTTCCGGTGGTGATCTGTCGATAGGCTAATCGTCCTGCACTCGCATCGACATGTCAATTCGGTGCTGATCCCATCCACTACTACCATTTCGTGGAAATGAGATTGGAATGGCGAAGGTTATCATATCACGGCTGCTTCTGTGCATGATTGGCTGCATCAGCCATCATGCTGGACTCCATTTGCTTTTCTTAATAAGGAATGAGACACATAGTATAAGGTTTGATTAGACATGACTTCCCCATGTGCAACATTTCTAATTGCTCCACTTTCACTAATCACCGAGGCACAACTTCCAGTATGCAACTTACTATACAGTTTAAACCCTCCATCAACATGTTCCACACTGACAAACCACTCCATCTCAACCTATTTCTAATCGCCACCCATTCTCCATTTTTAAATAGGATGTTAAATGGATAGATCAACCATGATAAGAATGTTACGCGTAAGAAATTAACTGACAAACCGGAGATTCTGTATTTCATTGCATAGACGTGGAATGAAGTTTACCTTTGGTGAAGTCAGCATTTCCCAAGTCGGTCTGCCGCAAATTAGGATTCGTCGTTGGTAGCGCAGCAACTCCTAATCACACCACTTCCTTTAGTCACACACCCACGTCACCCCATTGACAGCTCTATTTGCTTTGAACCCTGGTGATCTTTCAGTTCACAACCATTCAGGTTAAATCATAAAGCGTTATTGTTGGAGGTCTGAAGTGGAGACAGCCACTTTGAATGAGTGACGCGTGTTTGTTGGCCCGATTGTACAAATTACCCATCCACACACCAAGACACTTCGTGGGCTCAAACGGTCGTGTACGCTGTCGCTGGCTCATCCCTCTTTTTCGCCTTTTAAGTGGACTATTAATTTGAGAGTCGTAAGGTAGTGCGCCGAAGCTATTACAAATCCTTAATGATGAGGTGAGAAAGGCGTTTGCTGAAAGCAGACGTGGATTGGTTGAAAGGCGGGCTGCCGAGAGGTTGGGAAATGCGTCGAGACAAAAGCTATTAGCACCAAATTTACCAAATTTATCTATCATTAACGCAGACTGTTGCTGTTCATCATTAAAAATTGTCTGATACCAATGCTATCCAGCACGTTTCTTTAGCCTCGACCAATGTGTAAGTCGTGGATGCGGATGTCAGTATTGTCCAACACATGTGATTTAATACAATGAATTGTGACGTCGATTCACTCAGCTTATTTCGATTAATTACAGCTCTCCTGTCACTCCACATCGTTATTCGCAGCCGAAATGCATCCCTTGGTGTTGTCACATCTGAGCAACAATATGTTCGCATGTGAATGATATCTTGCATGTTCCCTTGGCGTCGGCAAATGTTTAAAGAGTCACGCTGTTGCGAAGCAAATATTGGAGATGTGGTATGTGGTCATGTCCGTTTAATGCTCAGATAACAACGAGTGGGTTGAATTAGTAGGGGTTACCGTCAAATGTCGTTCTGGTTCCAAGTCGGCATAAAATCAATAATTTTCACCGGAAAGAATACACGGTGTGATGCTACTCATCGATATTGCCAGTTTACAGTGTCACTTCACGCCTTCTAGTAGAATATCATTAATAATTACTCAATGTGTCGAGTTTAACAGCAAATTCCAGGCATCTTGTAACCAATTTGATTTTAGTCTTCTTCAAGGACGATGCATGGCAGTGTAGCAACAGACCCACAATACCCCATGCGATTGCTCAAATCCAACCTTATTGGCGTCGATGCAGTCTGGTTGTGTATGCTCTTGCTCAACATTTCTGGCATGGCAAAACAGCAGGGACTTCGGTTAAGGTCGGACTTTGCTCAAGTATGTCCATGGTCTGTCATTCTATTTTTACAACCATTAGTTTATGCTGATTACGTATCAGCAGCATTGCCAATACATAAAATAGCGGTCATTTGTGTTTAACATTGTAGCTCTCTAATGGCAATAACCATTATGTACTGCGATGCAATATTTGCTAATGGGTCACAGATGCCTGGCAGCTTTGATTCCCTTTGCTCATTCTGTTTTCCCTGCCCTCTTTTTTCCTCGATACACAATTGTAAATGTGGGTAAACAAACTGTAGGGATTCGTTTTGATTCAGGTCCAATAACCCAGTCCTCACAGCTTTCGGCACACGTCCCCCTTTTCACGACCTGCCCATCAGTCACGTGAGGCCGCTGGTTCATTAACCACTCTGCATGTCCCACCACCACCCGCTTAGTCATGTGACCTCACCGACACCTGTGTTTATTTTTGTACATGTCCACTCAACCGTAATTGTACACGACACAACTTGGTTGAGCGGTCTAGTAAACGGTTGTGCCTTCTCCACTCTGGTCTTCTTTATTTTCGCTGGAACACAGGGTAACTTATTCGTCATGCATTGTCGCAGTGGCCCTGGCGTGGTTCAAGACAGCATGCCCTCGACAAAACATTAGCATCAAACAGAAGACAGAATGGGATCAGCACTGTTAACTTATCGTGTGCAAAATGTCGAATATGCTGTTTGAATCGAAGCCACCCATGACAGTTGTGAGTCATTTTGTCAGGCCAATGAAATGTTTTGTTCTGTGTGGATGTGTGGAAGCGCTTTTCAAACAAATAATATCAGGAGAAATTGCAAAATACCCGTGAATCTTTGACATTAAAAGCTTCGCAAGCTAACAGGACACCTCGAGTTAGCTGGCAGTCCACAATAATGTTTTGTGACATCTGCAATTCCAATATTGCCTAAATGTGCTCCATGGGTAACAATTGAGCTTATTCCTTTTCCTCCCAGTCACAATTTACGCTGGATCCTTGACTGCGATACTGCATCTTTGTCAATAATACTCGTGATAAACAGAGTACTGTACCCAGTGCAGTAGACTATATTAATTACGCAATGCTACGATAGTGGAATTCTTAATGACTTAAAGGAGTCCCGAGTACTACTGGAGAGATAGACTGCTAAATTTCTATTACTGTAGAGTACAATTGGTTGCAAATTAGCTAGTGTATTAGCATTACTTAACCTACTGCCACCAACAACATTAGTGTATAACGGAAAATGACGTGTTCATAAAAGAAGTTACTTCCATGAGTTCTTTACTTAATCCAAACTGAAATGTTTGCCTTGCGTTAGTATCATCAGAGGCAATCGATGTAGGCAAATTAGTCAGTTCCGTTGTTTAATGCGAACTTCGTGCCTCAAAACGAGAATGCACTTGTGCTGCCCACCAAATGATGCAAATCAATGTGGATTTGTATTCCACTGGGTTCTGAAACAAACAATTCGTGTGCAACACCATAAACGTAGGCTAACATGAATAGACCAAATTAAAGGCTTTGGCGTTGTCAACGTGGTCCAATCACATTGAGACTCAATGCAAGTCACAGACGCACTTTAAAGCTCCACTATTCATTGCCTCGTGGTAGTCAATCTGCCATATGTTTTAAACCTAATATTTGTCAATCGAAATCAAAGAATTCATTACAAATCGCTTGAATTGATTTTTAGGTGTCACAATTGTTCATCCGTTTGCAATCCTTTAAGGCTAATGCACACCTACTCAGATTCGTGCGATGCCGTCACCCTTCAGCATTTAAATTTCGCAGACTCACACGAGGATTGACTAGGAAACATTCAATGGGATGCAAGCTGTGGCAACGCGTGGTTTTATGCAGTTACTTAAAACCGGACGTGTTGTTTCGTCCACATTTACGTTCAGTTCTTCCTCCGATTTGCACGTGTATCATCCCACACACATTCCACGTTTGCATTGCAACTCAAACACACCCGAGTAGACTGTTGAGATTGCCAGGGTCACTTGAAAACTGTCAATGATTATGTGGTTTTGTGAGATTAACTGATATTGTGACTCTCACAAGTACAGTTGCACTTACTGTACAGTTCAAACTAACTCGTGCTCATGTAAATTCAGTAGATAGACTATTTTCGAACCCACAAACTGTAAAAGGACTCAAAACGAAGGGTAATCTTGTGGTCCAGCAGTGTTAGCCCAAAGTGAAATCCAGCTTGGGCGTTGATACGCTGATATCGGAAGGAGGGTAGAATGGCTTGAGAGGTGACTTGTTTATGCAGACATGAGACTTACTCGTCACGCCGCTTAGGTCGTACCCGAAAATTGACAATTGCCAGGTCGGAAAGATGCATAAATGTTTAAAGTCGAGGTAACCAATTTGTTGAGGGCCCCGGCATGTTGGAAACCAGGGAGAAAAAGGCATAACCATTTACTAGATATCTCCACGAAATTGTTTTTGCTGACTGATACAGTTGGGTGCAAATACAAGCCTTCTAGAAGGTCACGTGAATGAATCGGGTGGCGGTACATACAGGGGGGGGAATGAGCAGGCGAGTTAAGAGACTGATGAGCACGCCACGAAAAGGGAGACGTGAATGAACACGATTCACTGCAAATGTTTTCGTACAATAGCCAACAAAATAATCGGAGGTAAGCAAATGTAGGTGTTCAGGGCATTTGTAGGAGATAAAACGCTTTCCACGGATTCACCACAGTGGTCATTCGAAATTGCGGAATTGTAGTGGCTCGATACTGACCTTGCCTTCATTTGGCTGATACGCGAAGCCACAAGGTGACGACCTAACCTCATTTGTCTCTACAACACCACAAGCCATTCACTGAAGGGGCACTTGCATTGTCTATTTGCCTGCTTAGCTAAATGCGAGAAGATCTGTACTAAGACTGCTGTTTTGCACAGCAATGAACTGTATTTATGCCCTTTCTACTTAAATTTGCACTGTCAACCGCAAGGATTAAACGAAGCACCGAATAACACTGTTTAGCTCCTTCAAAATGTGAGGATTTGCTGATTGATATATGAATTCGCCTGTTTACTACAAATATGACAACCGATTACTTCAGGATGTGGGGTATCCATTCATTCATATCGAATTATTCTTTACTCGATGTTACATTTTAACTATGCTCTACGTATTTCAGCATCTTAGCTATCAAATTGCCAAGTAGTTCGGCGTCAGTTTTGCGACGTAGTTAAGTGTTCCGGCTTACCCTCTTCAATCACATGCAATAGGCACGCAAGTGGAAACGAATATAAGTTATCATATTTGAATATAATAAAATGGAAGGCATGATAAACGCACTTATTTCGTGCTGTTATCACTATCTGATCCAATGGCGACCACACTGACGCATTGTGCCTGTCACAAGCGCCTGCTTACCAAGACCAACAATTTCATTTCAATACTAGGATAAGAATTCACATTGATTATAAACAAGCCAAGTTGTGGTTTGAATTCATTCTGCTTTTCCGGAGATGCCTTTTTTGCATGCTCACTTCGCAATGCCTGTTCCTCTGACATTGCACCTCCACACCGAAATGTCACACTTCCTAAATTCTTCATCTTTGTAATGACAGTGCTGTTGTGTGCCTATTATCTGTTAATGGTAAATGTATGAGCTATGAAACGGTAAATCTTACGTGGATTTTTTCCACGTTTCTTCCAGCCGAAATACTCGGCACAGGCGGTATCATTTCTGTCCAGGTAGAGCAGGTAGTCAGTCAAATTGTGAATGGACTTGAAGTCATCCACATTGATAACTGAGTGAGGTAGAGGGACTTCAACTAGTTTTAAGGCTGTATTTCGTCTTCAGGACTCTTGCAATTCTTCATTACACCGCTGAGCGACTGCGATATCCTCGAAATCCATACGTGCACCTGCATTTACAGCGTCGATGTGCGAGCGAGATAGTGCATCGGCTACCGAATTGTCCCTGCCTCGGATGTGACGAATGTCAGTTAAAAACTGTAGAACATAATCCAAGTGTCTAGATTTACCTTGGTAACAGACGATCTGAACTCCAGCGGCGGAGGTCAGCGATTTGTGGTCGGTGTAGATCGTGAATTGACGACCCTCAAGAAGATACCTGAAGAGTTGGACCGCCAGATAGATAGCCAGAAGCTCACGTCCGAAGGTGTTGTAACGCTTTTGAGCTTCTTTAAATTTGGCTGAAAAATAGGCCAGTGGCTGGGAGACCCACTGACGGTTTTCTGTAAGACTGCTCCAGTCGCCGAAAGGGACGCATCGGTTAGCTAAGACAGAGTGGTATCTGATCGTTGATGCACAAGTGTGGTTGTCGTTGCCAAAGCCTCCTTTGCGGCCGTAAGAGCTTTACGTGCCTCGCTGGTCACTGTATGATTTTTAGAGCGATCTTTGAGCAGATTGGTTAGAGCTAGAAGGGTCTGAGCTGCATTGGGTAGGAATCATTGGCAGAAATTGATCATGCCCAAGAAACGTCGAAGTTGCTTGGTGGTCTTCGCTTCCGGCTACTCTCGAATCTCTTTTATCTTAAAATCGGTAGGCCTTAAACCCGCAGCGGATGCGATGTGTCCTAGGAATTCAAGTTCAGAAACACCGAAAACACACTTTGACGGATTAATAATCCAACCATATTGGTTAGGACGTCGAAAGACAAAGTCTATGTGTTTCAAGTGCTTCTCTTGATACGAAAAGACAATCTAAACCAGATATTGCTTGGCAGATGAAACGTTGAAATGTTTGAGCTGCATTTCTTAAGCCGAAAGGCACTCGCACGAACTCGAACAAACCGAGTGAAGTAGCGACAGCCGTCGACAGGGATCTGACAATGGCCTCGCACCAAATCTAAACTGAAAAACGGATTTTCGGTATAGATTCGCCGAAAAATCATGCAGATTTGGTACTGGGTAGCAATCAAGAATTATTATTACGTTTAAGGCACTATAATCACTGCATGGCCGCCATTTACCAACAGCTTTCTTGTGAACCGTATGCAGCGCAGATGACTAATCACTGTCCAATCGTCTAACTATGCATGCTGCAACACATGCTCGAATTGTTGGTTAGACGTTGAGTATCTGGTTGGGGAGAGTCGGCGTACTCGGGAATTAACGGAGCGACCGTTTGTCAAAATTTTGTGCGTGACTTCGCGCCGGATCTCATCTTGCCGGTGAGTTGGGTTAATTAGATCTGAGTTTGTTCGCATTGAGGACAAGTAGGGTCCGTTTTAAATTTTTAATTTTGCAACCTGAGAAATGTCTGGTGCAGTTTCCGTGGGACACCTTACGGGAAGAGTTGTTCTTATAATCGAGAAGGAGACCAAAGTTGTTGAGAAAATCTGCGCCTATGATTGGATGGGTCATTGCAGCGATTGTGAAGACCCAACAAAACTGGCGTCCTAGTCCTAAGTCAAGCGTGTGAGATCTGTGCCCGTAGGTGTGGCTGGGGGAACCATTATCGGCTGAGAAAACAAAGGAGGGCATTGTGGACCGCTTTTCAGAGCGCGGTGGAGGGACAACGGATGTGTCGGCTCCTGAGTCGATCAAGAACCGCATACCTGTTGACTTGTCGGGTAGGAAAAGGCGGCGGTTTAAGTGCCCATTAGAAGTTGACGCCATTACTGCCGGGCATTCCCGTTTCCTGACCGTGCGAGAAAGTCTGAAACACCGTACCTACACAAGGGCCTACACTGTCGGGCTGCGCGGCCGAAAGTTACAAGATGCCAACGCAAACCTCGGGACGACGAGCGTGAAGGGAATCTTCGGCGAGAATGTGAGAGGTTCCGTCTAAATGAAGGGCTGTATCTTCTCCCTCATGAACCGCTGATTATCAAGGCGTCGATTGCGGCTTTGATCCTGGCTCGGCGGAGCGCAAAAGTGAATTTGATTGTCTTTGGAGACTTTCGTCAATTTCGGAGATGTAAGCCGTTTTCGTTGCTTCTAATCTGAGGCCTGCGGTATCTGCCAACTGTTCCAGTGTTGACGATTCAACCATGGGAGCAATGATGCGTTGAATATTGCTTGGAAGTCGTTTGAGAAAAAATCCTTTCCAAAATGCACCTTGCAAAGGTTCGGCGTTGGAGATTTGACGCATCTTCCTCAGGATCTGGGTAGGCTTCAAATCTCCCAAATCATTGCCGATAAAAGCTGATTAATGTGTTCCGATGTGGTTAGTTGCGTACTTTTCAGAATCGCTGCCTTTAACTGGTCGTAAGGAAAGTCGTTGTCGGGGTGAAGCAGTACGCCTGAAACTTCGTTGGCCAGTTCGCTAATCAATGTATAGACGAGGTAAGGGAATTTAGCATATTGGCTGACAATATTTGCACCACGAAATTGCGTTTCCAGAGCGGCGAACCAACACGGAGCAGAATTCTGTCAGAATGGAGGTTGTTTCCGACTGAAGGTTTATTTCCTGATGATCCTTATGGGAGTCACCAATTTGTTGAGGTCATTTAGCACACGAAGTAACTCAGGAAGGAAATAAGTCCAGAGATGGCAGGCAGATAGCTCAACAAAATAGTTTGTATACTTATTCAGTTGAGTGGACATGTAAAAAAACCACAGGTGTGTATGAGGTCACATGACCAAAGCGGGTGGTGGTGGTTTATGCAGGGGGATTAATGAACCAGCGGCCTCACGTGACTGACGGGCACACCGTGTAAAAGGGGGGACGTGTGCCGGAAGCTGCGACGACTGGGTTATTGGACATGACTGAACACGATTCACTAAAAAATAAACTGAACTGAATTCCCCGGTGCAGAAAAGGGCTTCCAGTTGATACAATTTGCCAACTGAAAATCTGGACACGAGCTTAGGCACACTTATATAGTGCAATAAGAGTCATTGTTTGTGACATCCAGCGTTCGAGAAACCCCTGTTAGTGGATCCTCCTGCAGCAATTGACCACGTAATCTGAATCACCTAGAGAGTGAACACTTGTCAATTATCTACTCACAGAATCAATTTGCGATGAGAGGATTTCAAATAATTTACGTACGCTACGTAAAACACTTTTGTTTCCCTCCTTGTCAAATAACTTAGCATCAACACATGGTCCTTTCTATTGAGTAAATGTGTGTAAGTAATAAGCGATAATGTCTTCATACAATCGATCACCGATCAAATCAACACATGCAAATTTTACCCTGAAATAGAACGTCCTGATGTATTAAATCCGGATCGTGCCCATGCTTCTCCCATTTTGGCTGGATTCTTTCCTAATTTGAACTCTTACGTTGCGAACACACCATCTGCGCCACGTAGAACGCTGAATTGGCGAATTTTCCTCAAAACGCGGTACCCTACTTCGTCTTCTTCGCAACACAGCCTTGGAAAAGTTTAAATTGTGGGTTGAGTCTTCAAGAAAGTCTCGTCAATCGTACCAGATGTGACTGGTATACTTTGGAAGTACTGGTTGTAACACTTAAGGGCCTCATGCTTACTCAGGGTCAAATCACGGAAGCTTTTTAAGCCAAAGACCAAACTAACCTAACTATGGCAAAAGTAAGTTGATATCGCCTTCTCTGTTCATTCAGTTTATTGCAAACTTTGAAGGTCGACGTCAGGGTGTGGCAGCGTAACAGTAACCGTGACGTCATCTGGGATGAACTTTCACCCCACCTATTTGATTTCCACTTAACGCAACTTTTAGCATGTGCAAATGATATACGATTTGCAATGAACTATTTCATCTTGGTCTACAGAAACAATCTCCATTCCAAATAACCTTGCAGGAGTTCACTGCAACCCAAGGGTTATCAACCGGAGAACCAAACGAAGGACAATTGACGCACTCCTATGTAATTAAATTTGCCTACTGGAAATGTGTGTTAGATGCTAGGTAGACGTCCATCATGAAGTTAGGTGTCGTGATTATTGCCCCTTACTGGAAGAGGAACGTTGGTTGGTGGCTCTTCGCGCAGCATCAGAATGACGTTCACGTCACGAGAACAGATATCTCGGCCAGAAACTCGTGACTGACGCACGTTGACAATTATTCTATTCACAAATCTATGTTCGAATCAACGAATCTAAAGGCTGGACCCAGTCGAAGTAGTTTATTAATTTAAACCTATTGCAACAGTTGGCTTTCTCGCCACACGTGATTTTTTTTAATGATTTCAAGCGTCGGAAATGGAGGTCCTGCCTGTGTGACAATCTGATGGTAAAATCGATAACCATAAGATGGATCGTGATGATTTTCATTTATTACGAATTCGTTATGCACACGCTTTCCTCCATTTCGAAGTGCAACTACGGCGTGACTAAGCACAACTACTGAAATGAAAAAATGCCTACTTTTATGGCCCCAAACGTGCATAATTTTGAGTGAACACAAAACGCAGCGCTTTGAATCCGTTTAATTCCAGTTATGCAAACACCACAGAGGTCGTTTTTGACATTTAACAAAGTTGTGGGAATTCAGCATATCAAGACTTTATCCCAAGATATCCAAAATACTATGGTCTTTATTATCTACACCATTCGAAGTTTCGACTCTCGTGTACGTTCGAGGCTACCAACCAGGACGTGAACCGTGGATTATTTGAACTGAAGGGTCATCCTGGACGTGAAGTTGAGTAGCGGTACATGGGTGAAACATCGGGCATAACTCCGCCGAAGACATCGAATCCTTAAGCCACCGTTTCGCATAACGTTGTAGTGGACAGGCAACCACTCGCTTGAATGATGCGTGCATGAGGCCCGAGTGGACCAATGATTCATCCATTTTGTTATCTGCCTCTGTCAGCGTTCGCCTGTTACGCACACGTACACATACGCCCACAAAGCCCCGTGGCTGTTGTGGCACTAATAAACGGTCGTGTTCTCTGTCGCCTCTTTCCCCCCTTTCCTTGGGTAGTTCGGGCTGTTAACTAGAGGATTGTAAGGTCGTGCTAAATCGCTAGCCACTACAACATGCACATTAACAAAAAGTGGCTGCCCACACTGACGGTAGTTCCACAAAAGCAAACCGACCGAGTCCATCACCCTCAAGACGGAGTAGGCTAAAACGGGCCAACCAACGCTACTCTAACTTCTTCAGATTGAAGAAGTGGTGGGAATTCAGCATCCCAAGATATTCACAATCTTAGATTTTTCACTTTCATATATGTCTGTGCGCGCCAACCTTTAGCGGATTTCACCTCACCTGTTAGTCTTTCACCTTAAGTGTACCTTTGTAGTGGCTAGTGTCTAGTACTACCTCACAACCCTCTAGTTAACCTCCCGTAACAACCCGAGAAGAGTGGAAAAAGTGACGGCAGCCTAATTCATTTGAAGATTTAGTCTTCTACATTGTTACAATGACCCCTGAAATTACCCATTCCATGCATGCTTTGTGTTTCGGAAGTTCATGAAGCGAGAAGCGTTTGGTAGTTTTCTAGCTCTTTATCTAAGTCTTCACGATTCTCGATTTCTTGGCGCTGTTAATAACCCCATAGTTGTCTACGGTCGATGAGGCGTCTTTTATTTTTGGGTGAACACAAAACGCAGCGCTTTTAATACATTTAATTCCAGTTATGTGAACACCACATGAGTCATTTCTGACCGCAGTCCATTAACAAAGTTGTGGGGATTCTTCATGCCAATACTTTATCCCAAGATATCCCGAATTTAATACTTTCTATTATCTGCGCCATTCGAAGTTGCAAATCTCGTGTACGCTCGAGGCTGCCAACCAGGACGTGAACCGTGTTTCAATAGTGGGGTCCAATGATCATCTTATATCCGCGTCAGGCTGCAGGCGGTAGCGTGTGCATTTTTAACTGAAATGTCTTGCACAAGCGCAAGTCATATGTGCTAATCTTGAGATCTAGGTTACTGTTATCACCCATTCTCTCTAATAGATAGACAAATGTGAATGTTGTGACTGAGAAAGGTCCATGTCGGGGTCACACGTCTGTTAAAGGCCTGGTATGAGTTCGTCAGCCTCACCGGGTAACTAAGTTAAATTTGACTCGATTATTCTGAAATACATGCCTGAATGGATGATGAAGCGGAGCACTGGAACGGCGGTGACAACTGTTGTGTAGAGAACTACTCAACATAGTTGTGCTGGTGTCTCATGTGCGTACTCGGTGGCAGTGCATGACTTTTGTGACTGTTGAACCATGCGTCTGGAAGAACTGTTACATATACAAGTGGCTGAACAAGAGGGTGGATGAAGGGGGTAGTAGGGGGATATAGGCACTGGGGTGTGTGAGCATAGGTTCCACATGGCTGACGGGCACGCTATGAACAGGCAAACGGTGTATTAAAGTACGCGACGACTGGGCTGGCGGTCGTTAATCAACACGATTCAATACAAGCACATGAAGATCATTGAAGGCAGGCCGTGTTATTTTTTGAACGGAAATCACCGTTATCAGCCGACTCATTGCGACTGTCAAAGTGGTGTCACTCCTGTTTTGGTCGTGTTGTCTAAGTAGAACAAATTCACGAGGACGCAGACACAAGAATGGCATAAAAAATGCAGACTGCACTATCCTCCTGCTTAACACAACACATACAGTGAATTTTCGTAATCAGTATGCATGTTTCATGTCCCGTTTCGGTTGTGTACTCACTTAAATTGGCTAACAGAAGCGGTTCTCCACACAAGCAGCGAATATTGGAGCTTTTCTGGGTACTCAAACGCACACACACACACACACAAAACGCACAAAGAGAGAAAGTGAAGATTTTAATTTACAATCGTTGCATTTTTGTTAGATGGCGAGCTTTAAGCCTGCCAAATGTCACACCCTTTGCACCTATTTACAATGTAACCCGATGCATGCCCCCATCGTAACCTAATAAAGGGCTATTGTGGCATCAACATGTCGCCCCCGTAAACCCGGAAAGTACCACCCAGTAGTGGAACCTGTTAAGCCTCAAAAATGTAGGCATAATTGCTGCAGAGGTATACTAGCATTACCAATGAACCGATGTAGAGGAAGTGCACATTTCCAACAGGATTCAGACCCTGGTTATGCAATCGTCATTCAAAGCCAACTTCTCCTTCAATGTGCATTACATCGTTCTCGACTATCTAACAAGCGTGCTTGTGGGAATTTAGGCACATCGACCTGGTGTCTAAGACATTATTAAGAATCAAAAATGAGACAATATAACTCAATGCACGTTTCTTTATGTAGAGTTACTCCAGTTGAATGTCTTTACAAATAAATGCTTGTGCTAAATTTGAGCCACAAATGCTAAAAGGAATGTGTAAGCGGACCACAGTCAATGTAATGTGAACACAAGAAAATGGCAAACGCGATTAGGCCTGCATGATTCGCTACTTCTAAACTTCATTAAATTTGAACTGCCACATTTGGTCTTAATTTCCCAAATGCACGCTGCCCTGCGAACGCACGTCAATTGTGAATGACTATCCGCATGTGCCGTCGTTATAATGCAATTCAAGTAAAGCTAGAAATATGAAAGGAGGAATGCGTGTGTGGCCAGTGGAGTGACTTGAATAGAAATGAGTTTCGGTCAAATGGGAAGATACTATCAATGTCAATAGTTGCTGGTTTCGTTATTTTCAAAAACATTAGATGTCGACGTGACAAGATCTAGGACATTAGTTACCTTTTAGGCCATTGTAATAGAAAAGATGTCATCACATTTCTACAATATACCTTCGTTCCTTTGCAGGATTCAACTTCTATTGATGAAAACACAATAGATAAAAGACTGCAAAAAATATAAATACCCTAAAGTTCTGCAAACATGCAGATATCGATACTGTCAGACGTCATTCAAAATAATCCCTTCTAGCCACCATTGCTGGTTGCGTACCTGCGTTCCTTCTGGCATAGTCCTCGTGGTCATACATTGAGTCCACATTGTGCAACTCGACGCCCAGTTTAAATGCTGTCATTCCGAGATACACATCCTCCGGTGCATAATTGTACCGCGTGTATGCACTCGCGATGGCCATGTCGTCCACGATGTCGGCTCCTATGAATTGCGAAAATCCACGTGGATACTGGTACATCAAATCCCATGGGAATTCGCGGTACGACAGATACCACTTCGCTGATGGCGATCTAAGAGCCTTGTCGCGTTTCGCAATGAATCCGAAAATGGACTTTCTCATTGTCTCGGTTGAAACACTTTTGAGAAACTGTGCCACCATGGACAGATTCACGCGATGATCATCGTCGATGATCATGAATGTGTTGGCGTGATATTTGTTGCAGAATGCTGACAGCCATCGCAGGTTCGTGACGGTCTTCCACGTCAAGTTGTAGTACGTGTCCTCGTAGTCGGCCAGCACTATGTCATCGTAATTCTCGATTTCCTTGTTGATGCGTTCCATCACAACATCCTCCTTGCCATTGAATTGGTCGAGCATGTCACCGCTGCTTCCGGGCAGGCTGATGATATTGCCGTCGCGATTGAATAATCTGCCACCGCGTTTGCGTGGCAATCCGAGACTGAAGACGACTCCCACCTTGAGCTTCGGATAGCGGGCTCTCTCGCGTTGCATAAATGCAAGAAACGCTGTTCTTGCATCCCATTCGAGAATTCCACTTTTCACTACAATGACAAATTCTTTTTATTTTGCTTGCCCAATTGTTTGAGCTTGTTTACGGAATAATGATGGGGTAATTGCATTGTGGCATCTGGAAGAATAATGTCAACATTTCATTTAGTGTCCCTTTTGGATAGTTATCAGAACTAATTCAAACCACCATTATGACAATTAACTACGGGGATATTCATGGTACGATAATGATTCATGCTTATGATCATTTTCGAAGTTACCGTTCACGTTTGTTCATCGGGTGCAATCCACAAGCCTACTCAAATGCTGGATTCGATCCTGGAAACAATTTGCATTTTTTTCAATATTACCGGTTTTCTCCAAGGATTTTTCGAGCACTACATTGGTTGTCCTCCTCCATTTCCCTCGCCAACGTCGTCGTTTTCCATCCAAGATTTCGTTCCATTTTATTCCTTTTTAAAAACATAATTGTATGTTTCGTGATGCCTGTATTGTTGTGAAAATCATTGCAAAATTATATAAACATGACTCGTCTCTATTGGTTTGTTTGAAAATTAATACATTTGCGAATTGTAGACATTATGATGGCTGACATAAATTAGCGGATATCATTATGGCTGAATCCAGTGTGTCAGCTTACATCAAAAACTGGAAGATTTGCTTTCAAGGCCTCACTGGCTCCCCTCATTGAAACGTCCACAATGTTCGAGGCAACGCTGCGAGATCGTCGGACAAAGCCTTAAGTTTGGTCTGTGGCAATCGAAACAGATTAATGAAGTGGTCCTGGGTTCTTGTCGAGCTCAAAATTTTTTTGTAGCCACTCGGGAACTAAATTCCTTCAGCTCCTTGAGGTTGCCATGGCCAGAAATCTTTCAAATATATCTATTATTTGGTACCAGTCACTAAAGTGCAACACCTCAATGCAACATTTGCCAGCCTTCATTCTGCCGAATATCGCCTGACTATTCTCACCAACACCGACAGGATGTACTCAGGATTAGATTAAAAGCAATTGGTTAAATTATAATATGCTGCACCTACGGTACATTTCAACCTTCTTAACCAATAATGCAGGTGTGTGGGTGTAGTTGCGGTAGAGTGGTGTGCAGTACATTTTAGCAATCTGAGTTTATTTTAAAACCACTTGACATTCAAATTCATCTCGCTAGACCTAACTTCAATCTTAATTGGAAACTTTCTTCACCGGTGATAACACGGCAGGCACGATCTTGTTAGTTGCCTGCTGGCGGATGTGCGTGGGCAAGAACATGTCACAACAAGTGTACCACAAGTCGCTTCGATTCTCTTCTACTCACCACACCTCAAACTTGCATTTGACTCCACACACAGCTAGTATCTGGACAAACGTTCTAGTGGCGCGCAATGAATGAATTGTTATTTCGCGTGCGAGACATAGTGCTTTTCAAAGCGTGCTTGCGAACTGAGACCACAGAAGGTTAGAAGTTGCTCAAAACAGCCAATCAAATAGCGGCACGCCAACTGCAGATAATTCCGAATCAAATAAGAGCAGCTTTTTTGTACAAGAAAAAATAATGCTGAAAACTCTCATCGCTTGTTTTAACGTTTAATTTGTTCCCTTTTTTGAGAATGTCTTGAAAGCGCTTGACCTTAAACTTACATACAACAGTAAATAAACACTCACCTCATGTTCTGATTGGATAAGTGGTCACTAGGGGACCGCATTTGACCGGCTGTCAATAAGGTTACGTTCTACAATTTGACGTAGAAAACTGTCACTAACCTGAGATGGATGTCGGTATTCTGCAGCAAACACCACAGCAACACATTCATGATCGTCGGGTGAATCTCTCAACGGTGACACAGTTTCTCGAAAGTGCTTCGACTGAGACAATGAGAAAGTCCATTTTCGAATTCATCGCAAAGCACGACAAGGCACTTAGATCGCCACCAGAGAAGTGGTTCCTGTCCTACTGCGAATTCCCATGAAAAATTTAATGAATTACTATCCTCGAAGGTCTTTGTTAGAATAGAAATGGCCACCACGATTGCATACACGAGGTACAGTTATGCACCGGAGGATGTGTATCCTGAAATAACATAGTGTAAACATATCGCTAAACCACGTAGAATACGATGAGAGGAACAGGGTGAGGCAACTTGCCATGGTAGCATTGAGACAGCAGTGTTGTCAGATTATCTGTTTTTAACCCTAAATTGTCTGGCTTGGTGTATTGCGAGCTATCAGAGAAGACGTATGAGTAAAAGCCGATCCGAAAGGGTTTGCCGCAAGCTGATTGGTTGATTTGACATGTCACTAATTTTCAAAGGTTTCACGCAATCCACCACGTCTGACGCACCAGGCTTTGTGGTTGATCTAACGGTCGTATCCACGTCGTAGTTTCTCATTGATACCAACTACAAAGAATGATGATGATGTAATATAGCTTGCTGACTGCTATATCACATATACAGCACTGTTCAAAGTGTACCCAAGTGGATGTCGGAAGTTACCGACTTAACGAAATCTCGTTAACATGTTTTGTCTTCAATAAAGTTGTCCGATGAATTTCTTGTCCATTCATGAAACCTCGTTCGAAATTGCGTAAAAATGGTTGTGAAATCGTTTCTGAATGGAACACACCACCCTCGTACGTGTGACGCACTTACGCACACGCAAAATTGCAACCATGCGATATGAGCGTGCCATTTTTACCCACATCCGTTCCTGCGGCCTTGCAGGAACCTTGGATAATTAAATACATGAAGGTAATTTGAAATAATTGTTATCGTTTCCGTGAATTTACATAAAATTCACATGATATTAGGTTTCAGTCGAATCAGGTCCGTGAGTCCAAACTAATCCACAAGTGTGCCACTAGCGTGCTTCCTCTTCTATGTTTGAATGTTTAACGCAATTTTTGGAATGTGGGCTTCAAAACTACCAACACTTTGCAGCCTCCACTGCGTAAATGAGAGTTGATTTTGCACAGTTAAATGTTTACTACGATTTGTCATCCACCAAGTAGACACTTTAATTGGCTCGTGGGATGTGGTAATGCATCGTTGTTGTGGATTGGCATTTCACTCGGTTTTCCACAAGCAAACCCATGATCAGTCATGGACTTTAACGCAGGCTACATGTGAAAATGACTTGTCCACGAGGTTGTAGTGTTGCACTATTGGGCAAACATTTTAGATCCCGCCAAATTAAACCATTCATCTCTCTTTCGACGTTTGAATTGCCTGTGAGGAATATCTGCAACCAATAAGAGACAATGATACCTGCGAGCATCAGGAGAACTAGGATGGACAGTGCATGATGTTCACTTCTGGTTTGTGATTGGTCAATAAATATTGTTCAGTGAACCTGCCTTATTCATACCAGGGCGTGGGTATTCTACACAGCCTGAACGTTTCAATCAATAAATATGCGATTACTGATTAACATTTGCCATGAATTCACTCTGCCATTGCACCACTGAGCATTCAGTCCTGTCGAATGACATTCGAATCAAAACCATGAAGACTAACTGCAGTGAAGTGGGAATTTGCTAAACAGGTTGGTTCATCTGTTAAACGGCAATTCGTTCCATGCTGTCTCGTTGAGTCAATATTCAATGTAACTCCACAAGTATTTTCATTATTTTCACGAACTGGCCACGATCACAATGATAATGATGAAGGTTAGTCGACATGGTATTTTGAGTCACGTGTCACTACCTCAGTTATTGCCAGAAATACGATTACTGTTATTTAAGTTACGGCGGCACTTGTCCTTAAAATATAGGTTCCTGCGATAGCCAGCACAGGCAAGCTGCATATTTGCAGGTTAGTTTCATCGACGCATCGAAAATCTATCATTTCAACTAGCTGGTGGATGAAACAGACAGTCCTAGGCATCGAATCACACAATCCCCTTGCCATAAATCGTGTTAATACACGCGTACCCAGACTAGCCGCCCATCCCGTTTTAGGTCATTTCCATCGGACATGCGAGGAGGCTGTTCAAACAACCCTGGGCATGTACCACCCCAGCCTCTCATTCTACTCAACCGGCCATTCAGTCATTTGTACTTTTGCACGTTCACACGGACTGGATTAACCAGTAACTCCAGTTAGTCACATTTGACATCTTGTGCACAGTGGCGGTCACGTTGGCTGTGTTCATTCACCACATCAGCAAGAGTGGGGTTTTGCGAGGAGTTCTCGGTTCAGTGAAATGGCTGACGATGAGATGTTAGGCGTTGTGTTTAGCACGGTTAACAACCCGTTTCACTTTGGTCACATTTAAGACGTCAATCAGCCGTAATGATTTGCTTGCAAGCATAATTGGGCACTATAGTGATGTGCATAACTTCGATGCGGAATTAGTCCTCACAACGGTAAAGGTAGCTTATGCACAATCCGCACTAACGCACGCACAATTTCCTCGCTAGTAACGTTGGTATGAAATTTCTAGCCAATGGCCTTCGTCGAACAATCAAATAAATCTGAGCTTTCTCCAGTACTGACTTGCAATTAACTCAGAGACGATGAAACGGAAAATGTTAATGTCTTTCAAGATTTCACTTCTATTAACCTGTCTTATTTCAGTAAGTACTATTGTACAGTTTTGGAGCCTAAACAAAAGCTTCGCCAGAATCTCTGAAAAATCGCAAGCATCAGATACCGACCAAATTTGCCGATGGCCTCCTCAAAGGGTTGATGACATTCATTTCGTGAGCGGCTACAACATTACACTTTGCATTCGACTAGAGGCGAGGCCGTTGATGTCTAAGAGACAGAAGACTTATCTTCTCACCGATCTGTTTCGAGTTTCGAGAACCATTAAAGAGGTTTCTTTCGACGATCTCGCAGCGCTGCCTAGAGCATTATGGAAAAGGGTGAAGTATCCTGAGGTGTATCACACGTACCCACAGGACGTTTCAATGAGGCAAGTCGTCGAAGCCGTGAAAACAGGTCATCCAGTTTTTGATGTAAGCTGACACTCTTGATTGAAATATCACATCCTGGGAGAATTGAATTTGAATTCCACATTGTCTAGAACTTAAAAAGGGGCCAGTTTTCAGGTGATCGTATGGATTATTTAGACTGTATGAAAGCTTTTCAGGAGGAAAGCCTGCTAATGTGTTTCCAAGTGCCCTTTAAAGTGTCAAAAGGCATTTCATCAGTAACGGTAAAATGCACCACGATGAATACGATATTAGGTGGAAACAACGAAACTAAGGAAGAATAAAGAGACTGTCAAAAAGAATTAACTTTTAAATCTGATGAGGCAACAGATAAATCGATCTAGTGGCGCATTGTCTGAATTAAATTCAACATTATGGTAGGCATGCGATTTGAACCAGATGAACGTAGGCAAAATCGATAATAGCAGAAAGTGTTTGGAAATTCGATAGGATAGCATTTAGTTCGCAAAGGTCAGATTGTATGCATTTAGGAAACTTTTGAATAGTAACGTTTGGCAGATTGTTAACTTTCTTCTTCCAGATGCCTCAGTACAATTTCCCCATCAGCATTTTGAAAACAAGCACAAAGGTCTGTTCAAACAACACCAAACACGACCTCGTCATTGTGGTGAAAAGTAGCAATCTCGGATGGGATGCGAGAATGGCGTTTCGTGAATTCATGCAACGCGAGAGAGCCCGCTATCCGAAGCTCAAGGTGGGAGTCGTCTTCAGTCTCGGATTGCCACGCAAACGCGGTGGCAGATTATTCAATCGCGACGGCAATATCATCAGTCTGCCCGGAACCAGCGGTGACATGCTCGACCAATTCGATGGCAAGGAAGATGTTGTGATGGAACGCATCAACAAGGAAATCGAGAATTACGATGACATAGTGCTGGCCGACTACGAGGACACGTACTA